TCCGGCGTAGCTCGTCTGAGGGCCTGTGGGATCTGATTCCAAGTATCTTCTCTCTCAAGTGATCATATAGCTGTGCTTCATTTCTCGATAAAACCGCATTGTTAATCAGGTTTCATTTCGAACCATAGACATAAAAATATTGCGTTCCATACTTTTTAATCACCTTCTACTTTGATGGGAGGGCTCGTCCATGATCGTCTGACTGGTACGCGACAAGGGTGGTAGTCGAAGAGTTCCATGACCAGTACTGATAGTTTGCATGCACTGAAACCTTTATGTACGCCGTTGGAGCACTTATGACGATTCATGAATGGCGAACGAGTACAACAATTTCAGTGCACGGTTTTCTTTAGGCTGTTAAAACCCTCTCTCCTCCCCCCCCCCATCTTCTTTGGAATTATGAGCAGGTCATGCAACACAACTTGTCAATAAACAAACAAGTAGTGGCAGGGTAAACATGAAAATAAAATGATACGAACTCGCGGGGGGCCAACATTTTATTTATTACAGTCCATTTGCTATATTCGTCCTCCACAAAATTCAGTTCTGGAAATTTAATGGAATCCCCACATGAAAAAAAGTGTAGATTCAGACATTTCGCGCAATCAGTTCGTTTTGGTGAGATAATTGGGGTGTCCCCCAACAGGCCCACCGCGCGGCGAAGCAAGAGACGCAGATGCGGCAAAGAGACGAGTTGCAGCGCGTGCTGTGCGATATGAGACGTAGTATGGTACACTCTCTTTAACCTGACGCCTAACCGCTACAGTATGCGCTGCGACTCGTCCCTTTGCCGCGTCTGCGTCTCTTGCTTCGCCGCGCGGTGGGCCTGTTGGGGGACACCGGTGATAATTTGCATCAGTGATAAATGGCGCCAATCACCATTCGCGTAGCTCTGGCTAAAATCTATAGCACGTTACTGCCAACAGTGCCTTAAATGCCTTCGTCATCGTTACACAATCCAGGTAGAAGTTCGCGAACGATGCCTTCATATGTGAGATGACGAGTCCGTAAAGCATAGATGTGGAACTCGTGTATTGGAAATCTGTCGACGTGGGCACTAGGGCCTTACAAAGTCACTTGCAGCAGATGCAATGTCCGCATGCCGTTGTCTGGCGCTCTCTCATTTGTAGAGCTCTCTCGCCTCACACTCTCCTCTCCTCTCTCAGTCTCTCATTGCCTTAGGACAGTCGGATTCAGAAGGTGAGCAGGCCTAACTAAACGTTTTCGACGGATTCTTTTCCTTTTTTCTTCACTGCCGGCCGGTAGCTCAGTTTGATCTGTGCATACGAACTATTAGGTTGTCCCATAATTAGTGAATCACTTTGGGTATTTTTGAATTCAAATTTTTTTCTTTTTTATGTGGAGTCTTTGCTCATCCAAACATACATCTCTGTCATCTACAATGTATTGCCTAAACAAGGAAATTTAGTTGCTGTCTTATCTCTAGAATTCCAGGAGCTATTGATCGAAGAAAGATCGGAAGTCGAGTTTGAGGTCATGTCACTTAGCGTAAAGTTTCTTCCTGGAGAAGAGCGCTAGAGGTCAGACTGAGTTGTCTTTTGTTGACACGAGGATAGGGCCACATATAGGAGGTGAAAGAAGTGCTAGCCTGGAAGTCTCCAATTTTTTATGAATATTCTCCGCAAGGTGGGGTCGAACGACCTCAGGAAAAAGCAGACTTTGTCTTGCTTTACTTTCAAATTGAACGCGTCGCCATTGCGCTATAGATGCTGATCTTCTTCGGTGACTCTAGTATTAGTGGGCGGCGGTTCCCAGCGTAAGGTCACTCTCGTGCTCATACAATATCTCGGAAGGGTCGGACTCAAAGGGGGTTCGGCTTTTGCTGTCAGAACTCCCGAACCCTTCATGCTAAGCTGCTGCTTGTTGGAGATTTGCTAGTACACTCCACCCAGTCCAGAACCCTGATGCATATGCCGGATGATCACTGTAAGGAACTAAGAGAGATCAGAAGGAACATGATGATGTCAGATCGTGTGTGGAGCTGTTTCGGGCTCACAGCATACAAGATACAAACTAAATATTTTAAAATCTTTACAACTCTACGTAGATGTCTACATTCTATCAGTTTAATAAGCCGGACATGCTCCATCAAATGGTGACAAGTTTGTCCAGATCCACCCTCAGTGGCGCTGGGTACAGCAGTGAGATTGCCACTTGAGGGGTAGTTGGAGTGTGGGTCATCTTCAACTCAAAAAGCCAACCTCTCGATAGAGTGAATTACAAGCAGACCGCGGATTGAGGGAGCGTGCCCTCGCCTATCTGCTGGTTGATTCTCTATGTTGTTGGGCGTTTGAAAGATCCTAATCAGAAGTGATTAAGAAGGGAGCTCAAAAATAGGTTCCAGAAAATTGAAGTATCAGCCACGGAAGGCAGCATGTACATGGGCCGAGTAATCGCTCAGGTAGGATAATGTGGATGCTACTTCGCAAAACATGTTTCATGCCTTCACCATTTTTCTTGGATTTTTAATAACAATAAATGTAAAGTGATTCACTAATTATGGGACAACCTAATATTATGCTCTAATTCAGAAAAGCTCTGACTTGCCTACTGACGGCCCGCAGGCTACTTTAAGGGCTTACACTGCATCAAATACCACTTCTGAAAGAAATAGAACGGGATAGAGTGCATCGCGAGAAGGACCGTCGCCTTTCTAATGGTCTATGCTTGATAACCTTTATTCACCTTTCGGTGGCTTGTGGAAACTTTCGTCAAAAACCAGGCTTGAAACGTGAATTTCCATGCTCGTAAAAGAAGGACTGTGTTTTTGCCGAATTTCACAGCCGGCCATGCCGCGCATAGGTCTTTCAACAGGTACACACTTTCGCATATTCAGCATTAATGCACGGCTTCCCATTCTTTGGCGGTCTGCGTTAGGTTATGTTCGACTTTTCCTGTACGAGACCTTCTCCTAGCGGCTATTTTGTGTTTTGTTGGTGGTGAAGATAACAGAAAACACTGCAAGTATATTGGCTATGTTAACGACGCTGTGATAACAAGTACCACTTACACACACAGTGGAATGGCTGCGCTTGCCACCTCACAATTCGGCTGCTTCCTTGCAGATTACTCTCGTCAGGGGAATTTTCAGTCCTCAACAACATATCTCAGAGTGGCATGATTATTGTAAAAACCCAGAAGATGATGAAGATTTCAAATTATCAATGGGCAGATTCCAAAGTTATGTGGATAAACGATTCATGATCAACAGGGCCATTGGACTCGTTCTTTTAGCACTACAGCATTTATGTTATTTGGGATAAACTGGTTCCTCTTCGTAATTAGCACGCTAGGTAAAGTCGCATGTCAGGCAGTGGGTTGCTCAACTGGTCACCACTTTCGCTGTTTACTGGGTCCCGTACAGTGAAAAGAGGTTTCACGACAAGGACGATGGTCGAACAAGGTGAAACGTACATAGTGGAGAGACAGGCGGACCTCCTGAAGGTGCGGACAGACACGCAAGAAGTTCGTAATTCGTATCGCAATATGCCCCCGACGATCTAGCATGGCCTTCCCCGCGGCCCATTTGGCGCGCTATTGGCCGGCACGCCCCCCCCCCTCGCGTCGTCTCGTGTCTGAGCCTAGCCGTTTAGCAAGGAGATCGGTAGCGTTGAAGAGGGCAGAACGAATAGGCAATGCGTAAATCAACGGGCAAGGAGCCCTTTTCGTACTTTTCCTTTATGTACTGCCTTTTCATCGTTAAATCCGCCTTCAAGCAACAGCACATTTATAAGCGAACACCGCTTGAAAATCAGGATTGGGAGAAGGTGGGGGTCATGTGAAGCGTTACGGAGACAAGCTACTGATGTTAACTTTTAAAAAAAGAAACTAATCCTCTCGAGACCGAAAGCAAGCCAACAGAAGGAAGGAGTGTGGGAAATCGCAAACAGTAATCTGCTGTTCATTCCAGCTGATAGCCAAGCTTCGAGAAACATTCGATCACACATAGGATTGCAGAGTAGGGGCATAGTGCCCTTTACATTCAAATCTCTAGCTTTCTACATCTTTAAGCCATAATGGGTTGAACTATCAAAAAACCGTTTATTTATTACTAGTGCCTGCCCTTATGATTTCGTTGACGTTCTCGCCGGGATGCCGTATCAATCATTCCGGAGCTACATGTCACCGCTTGTTCTTTTTCGTTTTCAAAAAAAGGGAAAAATGACTCATTCACTTCACGGACCCAAAGTGGGCGGGGGTGGGTTATGTTTGGATATGTGATGGGGCATGGGAATCGAATGTGGGTTGAGCAGTTTTACTGGGCCCATTTTTTGTCGGGCACCATAACGTCGTTAGTCATAACATGTCACTACGCGAAATGAGAGACTTCGGAGGCACTCACAAGTGCCGGCGGCCGACCGGCCGTGTTTTGTTTGCGGAACGACATACGTGTGTTCCGGTTCTTATGGTCTATATTTTATCGTCAGGAATCACGAGATTGAGATCCTCTACTGTTGCTGCTGCTGTGCGCTTAGCCCTAGCCCACCGTTTCAGGCCCGCCATGGGCGAGCACCATCGCCACAACCCGTGGCGGCGCTAATGATGACACCGCTACCCTAACCGTCACCACTGCCCTTCTATCCTCGTTCTTTCTCAATTTGGAGCTGTCACTTTCGTGACGACAACTGAACGTGGCATATGTATGTGACAATTTCTCCATGGAGTTTTCCGCAATGTTTTTCTCCTCTTTATTTCGCTCCAAATATTCCGGTTTCGTAGAGTAATTATAAAGTACTCAGCTGCGATTTACTATACACGCTCATGGATTATCTACCGTCGCGTCATTCAGCCAGCCTTCAACGTCAGTGCTATCCTACAGCTATAGCTACAATAGTAGGCCACCATGCGTTCGAATCTCCTCGTTCACTCGTCCATTCATTCATGCATTTCCGATGTTAACTTATGATTTTCCATACAATCGTCACTGTTTAGCCGTCGAGGATCAAGCTTGTTCAATTTTTCGCTCGCGAAAAACAGAAATGATGGAAATTACGCGAGAATGTAAGTTTTCAAGAAAATTTACCACTCATTTTCTTCATTCCTCCTATCACTGCAATTACCAGTTCCCTGCAAATCACACCAGCTCTGCAGACGTCATTTGGCCGAGTGAAACTCGGCCCGACGTTGAGAATCGCTGCCCTCTAAATAAACACGGAATTAGGCATCCTTACGGCTGAGTACATTATGAGTCGTTTCTTAGCAGTCGTACAAAATCGAACAAATCGAACAGTACGAACGAATAGCGTTCTACCCCGATGACTTCAGCATATGAAAATCATGATCGCCGCCGAATGCACATTGCGACGTGGTGCAATGGGTGTACTGACCTTGTCTTTGCACCCTTCACGAGATTACGAGGATTTGCAAATTGCGGGGGTTCGGCGCGGATTTCCGGAATCGAGCCTGTCTCTGTCTATGGACTTTTGTAAAGCTCGATTCTGTGCCCTTCTTCAAGTAGCTTTAGCCCCTGGCACTCACGCCATTAGAGGGGACACTGAAATGAATGAGCCACTTACAGAATTCCGGACTAAGCCATGGGGAGGAAAAGGTATTTCGGGGTAGGACAGCAACCTTTAATCTTCCTGACGTCTTCCCATCTCCTGGGCCTAGCCTTGATATGACCTGCCAGCGATTTTCAAGTGTCCTGTAGGCCATGAGCGCCGGGCCCCCATAGTATGTCTTTCAGGACCTGCACCTTGGCAACAAGCCTAGTCATTTTACCAGTTTTCGACTTCCGTTAACGGTTCTGTTTTTACTATTTCGAGTAGTTGAGGGACAAACCAGTTTGTCCCCGTGGTTGAACGACAGTTATAGCTAATAATGCTGTGCTGCGTGAATACCGCACTAATCGGGGTAACTATCTATTGACGTTCACTTCAGTACTTCTCCATTATACCGCTATGAGTGACAGTAATAAACCAGTCAACTCGATGACATTCAGCCGGCTTTGTTGACTTAACAACGACGACAGCGGAGTGATAACGTGCTTTCATAGGTTTGTTACCATCCGTGGGTGAGAAAACAATGAATGAATCAGTCAAGATTGTACAGTTTGTGCAGTACACCAACCTTTCCTGGCCCCCGATGGGTGGGGATTCCTCAGTTCAATAACGCGATCGGCCTTGATCATCACAACTCTGCCTCCACGGACAATCTCACCGCAGTTTTTCCACTCCAACATTCAATGATCTCGCTCAAATCGCTCGAATCGCACTCGCTCGTTCGTCACTCACCGGCTGGCTGGCTGGCCGGCTTTGTGGCAGGCCATTTTGAGCAGGATCGTTCCTGTTTCCAAAAATCGCATTGCCTCGTAAAGTTTCATGTGTTTGATTCGTTCATGCAACCTGACAAACGCAACTTGCGTAAGCAAACACTACGATCGTCGACGAGAACCCTTTTGAGGGACGACGGGGTCGGCAATTACGGTTGTGTGCCAGAAACCGCCTCGGCGACGAGTACGACGGCGACTTGGACGTGCTTTTTCAATTTATTGCCTAAATTCGACGCCCAGCTGAATACTACATAGTCAATGCGACGGCCTTTCCGGTACGCTCAGGCTGACCATTCCTGTCCTGGTGCCCTCAGAATTACTCGGCTCATAACCACTACGTGGCCGTTATAGTCTTTCATTCAGTTCACTGCATTCATGCTTGGACGAGCCCGAAAGGGGCATCGTCTCGTCTTTTTTCGCCATCTTCTCACTGTGCGAAGAACTGTCGTGCCAGATCCCTAGTGTGCCCTCATTGGGAATGGCAGTCAATATTTGACGGGTGTGGGCAGATTCTGCCCAAAAGGTCGTTCTAAAGAGGAATTTGCTTCCGTGAGATAAGGTTCTTTGTGTATGAATCAGCTTGCAGTGTGAATCACTGCGTGTCCAGCAATGTCAGTAACTTGGTCACAGCACTTTCTACCTTACTGGACATTCTGCTTCACCTCCACTCTGTCAGAGTGCCAATGTAGACTTGCCTGTAGTTCCAGCAACCCTAGGGAATTCAGTGAAACCCAGTTCGGAATATTGTTGAAAATGATCCATCCATGACCGGCTGTCAGTTTGTTGCCTGCAGGTTTATGGAGACCATAAACTGTAAAGGTAATGTGCACTCTGTGTCTTATCTAAGCCGAGTTCAAAACGCTTATTGATTCTGTATAAGGTCATGTGTGGGGTCCGGCTTGAAAGCACGTCAAGTGGTGTAGTTTTTGCAACGTAAACGCATACTTTTTGGAGAGGTAACCAGGGCGAGACTGCCTGTAACACGCCCACGCGTTCTGGAGTCACCCATCTCTTAACTCCAAGCAATCCCTCTTGAGCACGGAATTTCGCACAAAAACTGTTTGTTCGCGCAGGATGGAGCCAATAGTTGAAACTCACAAAAAATCGATTCGGCTGCCCTCTGCCTGTGATTTTCGGCAATAAAATCGAATGTACCGATTGGAGGTCGAGAATTCTGGTTACGACGCATTGTCACCTCGACCACCTCAATGACACCTGCAAATCCCCGAATGAGACGAGTGTTTGATCGTATTCGTCGAGTATTCCATGATCATCACTGTTTGAATTCGTCTCGGTAAAAAATCACCTCTACAGCGCCAAAATTCCGTTCCACTTCAAGAGGCCACTGAGGAACAACCACTTTCCGACAATGACTATAAGACCCTTGAGCCTCAGTAGGTCAGAATCAGGCGGTGCCCTCGGTCGAGTAGTCCTTAATTGGGCTACGGGACAAGGGTGGCACCTGCTGGGACAAAGCGATCGTAGGCCAGGACGGGCATCATGTTGACTCGCTCAACTTTTTTATGTTAATTGATTTGTTATGTAGGTGTCCGAGCTCATTAAAAACCTAGGAATAAGCCAAGGATAATCGAATACTATGGCGAAATGTGGTTTAGGCAGGTCGTATCAATGATTTCGCTGATCTGTTGAATTGACTGAAGTTCAACTTTGAAGCAGCATGGAAAATTTTTACCATGCCTCATTCAACCCCCAGCCGTTTCCTCTCCTTCTCCCAGTTTCTTCGCCGATGACGATACGAGTATTAAAATAATACTTTCTACGAATCTTTTGAAAATCAGCGCTGTTTGGTGAAAACTATGGCTTCAAGTCCATGCAGTAGGAAAAGTGATAGGCCAAGCAGTCCTATAGATTGTTAGTAAACCCTTTTTGCAAAAGTACATTGTACTATCTCGTACGTGAATTCAAGTTCGAGTTCTTTGCTCCCAAGCACCCACATTTTCTGAGACAAATGCGGGGGAGAAGCTCGAGAGCGAAGCGGTCCGAAATTCTAATCTGAATAGCAAACGGCGCCACTCGTTCGCTCGCCCTGCCTCCTCCTCCTCCACCGTCACCGTCGCCACCACGACCACCGACGCACCCACCGGTTTCATCCTCTAAGCGTCAGTGTCGAATTTCCTGCTGCACACCTTACGCATCTCGCTGCAGCTCTGGCCCAATCGTTTCCTCCTCCATTGTCTTTCACGAGTTCGCTCGAGTATTCCCTCGATCAGAAGAAAGCACCATATTTTCAGCGATGTCGTACAGCACAACCCAGCCAGGAGGACGTGCACCACTGGGAGGACGACAGGCCGGAAATGTCGTCTGTAAGTGGAACTACAAATGATCTTATGATGGTAGCCTTCGAGCAGATGTTTACTGTAGTTGTTTTTAAGCACAAGATCGTATGTTGAAAATCGTCACTGAAATGCGGTCAGGAGCCGGCTCAGGCTTATCACCATTTGGCCAAAATGCGGCCAGTACGATCCGTGACTCACGTGAGCGAGAAAAGAAGGAAATGAGTGATCTGAACGACCGACTTGCAAGTTACATTGAGAAGGTAAGGGGATTTGCAGATAAATGCGGATTTCCGAGCCTTCATGAGACCATTTTCACAGGTGCGCTTCCTGGAGGCCCAAAATCGAAAGCTGGCCACCGACCTGGACCTACTTCGCAGCAAATGGGGTAAAGACACCCACAATATCCGTAACATGTACGAAGGCGAACTCGCAGTAAGTACTTCATTCTACTGTACTTATTACCTTGACAATCGTAGAATATTACAAATTCCATTACATCTTTCAAGGACGCTCAAAAGCTCATCGAAGAGACGAACCGACAACGCAAAGAATTGGAGCAGCAGATCAAGAAGATGCAGGATGAGCTGGCCGAAATCAGACGCAAGTGAGAAGCATCATTCACCTGATTAACCTACACTCCTTCAGCTCTCCTTATCCTTTAGCTCAATTTCTCTTTTTTTTATAAATAATTACCACGGATTCTCTTAAAACTGAACTTTTTTTATGCTGAAGTCTTAGGGATTCAGGCGTTTATGAAACATTTCCCGTCTCTTCGCTGTTGACATTTCTTCTTTGAGCGGAGATGGGTCGCGCCAAGAAAATTACCGTACTCATCGCCACCGTAGTGCTGTTTGTTCAGTGAGTCGCTTCAGTGAAGCGCGAGCACACCTCCATGATTGTGTGAAATTCGATTCATGCTTAAACACAGACCACGTCTGTAGGAAGCCTTAAGCAAGCTGGAGAACTCTCCTTCAAGGGAGCCATCCAGATAAGGAGAAGTATAAACATGTCAGCGACTAGAGATACTTGTTCCCAAAAACCCCTTCTAGATGATTTGATTTTCCCTCTTTGCTTACTTAGTAATTAATGCCCGAGCAGTGGAATAACCGAAGGACCTTGGAGTGCTGGCATATCATTCAATGACGAATGTAACCAATTATTTCATGAAAAGGTAATGGTGGGGACGATATAGGCCCTGCACAGTAGTCATGAAATCGCTTACCATCGCCCGCTATTACTAACCAGTCGTTATTGCCCTGCGCCTGTCGCTACTAATAACCCATTGCTGTTGATCGAGCTGAGCGTTACCGCGCGGTCCTGCTTTTTGCAGATGAGCTGTCTCCATAGCACTCTTCACGGCAAAAGGCCAAAGGCAAATACTGCTTGCTCTAATCAATACCATATTCTAGATCATAGAGATTAGCGCGGGCCGATCCACGCAGATCATTGAGTTACTGAAGAAATCTGCATCAGTACTACCTCAAATGCAACTGATCCAACCTGCAGATTCTTTCCTGCATGTTGAGGATCATAGCAGTGTGGCAGCACTACTTAGGCGTGGCTTAAGTTCGACAAAGCCATTCACTGAATGTGATCCATTCAGTGCGGGTCAGCGGACCGCAACATAGCGAGCCGCAGCTGGGAAACGTGGCACTTATTTGGATGCTCAGCATAGAATGCGTATCGATCGAATCCAGCATAAACTCACACGCTCGGATAGATTCGGATTCGGACCTACAAAATCACTTTCTTCTCATAAATGAGATAATCTTTATAAGTCCTTCGTTCAGGTGAAGCAGGACCAAAATAGGCTGGAACTGACCTGAATAACTTGTATGATTTTCCTTGACTTTACAGCTCGATAACTTCGAAGTAATAAATGCGTTCATGTACACCCATGCACACTAATGTTTTCAGGTATGAAGAAGCAGTGCGTGGACGTGAGGCCGATCGTACAAAAATTGATGACCTTCTCATGCACCTTTCCAATCTTGAGGTATTGTCGTTTTCAGAAGCAAAGAGTTTGAAAGAGACGTAACGGGGATTGGAGCTGCTTTTTGTGACTGCGAAGGATACAATTTCATTTTTGTCACTCGTCTGTCCACCTGTCTTGCCTTGTTAGACCCTGCTAACTGCGTCGCAAATTAGGAACTGGAATCGAGGACATGTTCGCCTTCTTTCACCTCTGCGGGTGAAAATTAGGGAGGCTCCCCGAAGACTGGTCCCCTCGGGACAGCAGATATTAGGCCCTAGTTCGCCTGCCGGGCAAGTACTGTAAGGTGGAATAATGTCTTTGAAAAATTATTATCTTCGAGAATTGACATAAAATGGAAATCACCAAAGAGACATGCTTCGGCACTATCGCAAGATACGGGGGCATTGCGGCGGTTACGCATTCTGAAACCATGTCAAATACCTCTTTTTCATTAATAAACTTTAATAAGCCACCTAGAACGAGGAGGGAGGCGCCACAGCACTTAAACCAATTTCATTTTCTCCGATGTTCGTGCCACCTCCTAGGCTTATCTTAGACTTGATCCTATAGGTTGCCCCCATATCTTGCGATAGCGCCGTTATCTCTAACCCAGGTTCTATGGAAATGCAAAAATCTATCATTGCAATTGAATGTAGCATGAACAGCATGTATTTCAGTCAGAAATTGCACTTCTGAAGCGCCGCATCGCTCAGCTTGAGGACGAAGTGAAACGTGTCAAGCAGGAGAACCAACGCCTTCTTTCTGAACTGCAACGTGCTCGTACGGTGAGCGCGTAATTTAGCCCAGGATTTGAAGCAGAACTCAATTCATCAAATGTTTAGGATCTCGACCAGGAAACCCTGAACCGCATTGACTATCAGAACCAAGTCCAGACACTTCTTGAAGAGATCGACTTCCTTCGTCGTGTGCACGATAACGAAATAAAGGAGCTGCAGGTACTGTAGTGGTTGTCGACAGCAGGCGGCTATTTTCAAAAGCTTTTTTGTCTACTAACTTATTTTACAGACATTGGCATCTCGTGATACTACACCGGAGAATCGTGAATTCTTCAAGAATGAACTTTCATCGGCTATACGTGATATTCGTGAGGAGTACGACCAGGTGAGGCCGATCTTTTCAACTGCAGCCTTTTTTAGGTCGACCCGTCTTGGTTATCCCCACTATCAGTTTGCTGAGTAATGCGATTTAATGAGGCATGGATTTGCATTAGAGCACCGAATCTTCCCATTGTTAACCAGTTAAGTTCAATCGCTACAAAAACAAAACCGGAGAAAGAAGAGGTAGACCATAAAAAACGTTTGGTGAACTAGTAATACCCTCAGTGCAACTTTATTGGCCCGTCTCCTCCAATCCGTCAATAGTCAGCCTAGTACCGGTTTTCCATTGCCCTGCTCAGTCATGCATAAAATACGATTATTGATCCGTTCAGATCACCAACGTCCACCGCACTGATATGGAATCGTGGTACCGTTTGAAAGTGCAGGAAATCCAAACCCAGAGCGCTAGACAGGTGAGTGTCAGGCTTGTTGTCCTGCTGGCTGAGGTACTGACTTGCCCGTTCAGAGCATGGAACACGGATACGCGAAAGAAGAGGTGAAGCGTCTCCGCACGCAGTTGAGCGATCTTCGTGGCAAACTCGCCGATCTCGAGAGCAGGGTAACCTTCGTTTTCTTCTGCTTGAGCACACCACAAAATCGTGAGCAACATCATTTCAGAATTCGCTGCTGGAGAAACAGATCCAAGAGCTCAACTACCAGCTGGAGGACGACCAACGTTCCTACGAATCAGCCCTCAACGAGCGTGATGCTCAGATTCGTAAGATGCGAGAGGAATGTCAAGCCCTCATGGTTGAGCTTCAAATGCTTCTGGACACTAAACAGGTTAGAGATGAGAGGATGCCGCTGAGGTGACAAGTGGGACAACATCCAGATATCTGGTATTTAGACATTGGATGCAGAAATCGCCATCTATCGTAAGATGTTGGAAGGTGAAGAAAATCGTGCCGGTCTCAAGCAACTCGTCGAGCAGGTCGTCAAGACCCATGCCATTTCTCAAGAAATGGATACTGGTAGGTGCAGGATCTACAGTACTGCCGGAAGTGCTGCCACAGCTCCGAACATAAGACGGCCTTTTCAGAAACGATGAGAGTTGTGAAGGGCGAGACTGCTTCTCGTCAATCATTCCAGCGATCGGCCAAAGGAAACGTGTCCATTCATGTGGGTTTACTCTCAGATTTTGCAAGCTAGTAATGTAGACTGGCGAACGAAATTGTCACTTCTTTACCTGAGTTCTTTTCAGGAAGCTTCGCCTGATGGCAAGTTCATCGTTCTACAGAACACCCATCGCGCTAAAGATGAGGTAAGTTCTACAAAGGCGACCGTTTAGCTTCGAC